ACTGTATATATAGAGGCAGCTTAAGCGGCGGCCCAGCCTGCACAGTATCAGAGGGGCCTGGGGACCACCAAAATTTTATTGTGGTCCACAGACCACTGGTTGGTGACCGCTGATTTAGAGGATTAAAATGTCTTAAAGCGTTGGTGCTTCCAAAAATGAAAATTCAGTCATAGGTGTGATCTGGAACAATGAGTTGCCCGCTGGTTTCTTGTATCTCTTGGGGTCTCTGCCAATGAGCACTCCTTGCCATAGTTCCTGGCCCTGTTTTCAAGTACATTTATAAAGGTATTCTGATACTGCCAGATAGGAGACACTGTGGCCACTAGGTAGAGGGATATGAGGCCTTGTGAGAAAAAAAGGAGACAAAAGAGAATTTGACATTCATAAGGGTGCGAGTGAAGGGTAAAAGCTGCTAGAAGATACACTAGGGGACCACTCAGGCTATTTTATGATGCCTTGGGCCTTATAGGATCTTAGCTACACCTCTGTACTTTGTACTTGGAGGTGTTTTGGGGTGTTTTGAATTACCTTCATGCCAAAAATGTGCATTTTAATGTGTGAAACATTAAATAAATTGGTCCAGCAACGAAAGAGTTCTTTGGCAGGTAAAAAAGCCTCTTTATACAATCTGTATTTCATCTGTGTATTTAGCTGTTTTCCCAGATAATAAATATGTATGTTTGTGTTGTGCTACACTGATCTGAGACTCCCTTGCACGTGCAGGAACTGACATAAATCCTGAAGCCATGACAAGATTACTTGAACGTGTATTTTAATATCTGTGTATAAGGACTTAGCCTGAGAAGCCCGACTTAAGTGGGTGATTAGCAAGAGGAATTCTACAATCCTCCGTATGTAGGAGGGGTGAGCAGTGCCATATAATCTCTGACATGCTGTATGACATGCTGACCTGTGCATCTATGTATTTATCTATCTATCTATCTAGAAATTTGACACGGTAATAAAAAGTTACAAGCAATCTTTGGGTTGTAAACCTTTATAATGTACATAAATATCTGAATCAACAGCCTAACATCACGCACAACACACAAGGAAATTCAGAGGAATAATAGATATGTAAAGTTCCTTGTATGACTTCATAGAAGGAGGTGGTATTGTGTCAAGAAACCGCACAGCCGCCTTTTTCTTTGAATGGATTCTTATCTTCAGGAACGCCTTTCAGCAATGGATCTTCTGTCGCTAGAGATTCAACATAGCTCTTCATTTCTTGTGCGGACTTAGAAACCTTGAAAGAAATACATAGATATCAGACGTGTGTACTAAAAAAATACACAACAAATGAGCTGTGAAGTGGAATTAGTGTCACAGTGCATCTTTGAGGGCCAGTGTTATACTTATCTAGACCAGTAGTGGTGAACTTTTTTGATATAGGGGAAGGGGTGGACTGGCCCACAGGGGCACAGGGAAATCCTACTATGGGCCCTGTGTTTGTGGCCAAAAAGTACCTAGTGGGGGGTCTGTCATTTCCATCTGACATTGTACCTGTCAATCCATGTCATGCTTGCCTCTCTGTGCTGGTCGTTCCACCCCCAAGGCCACAGCCACATCATTTCCTTCAATTCTCACTGAATACAGCAACTTCAGCAAGTCCTTGACATGATTGATGACTGCCATCTGGCTGCAACCCACTCTCCGTCTTCCACAGCGCCTGCATTTTCCAACATCTGACCACCTAAACTTCTATCAACACCTTCAGGAACCTGAATAAGAACCAGCCCTTACAAATTAGTCCTGGGAGCTGCTGGAAACGCTGGTGCTGAACAGGCTGGCTGTGTTGGGAGGGGGTGTCCATGAAGGGACTTGAGGCATTGCAGCAGGCAGCCATAGAAATATCTAGCCCAAAGTAATATGAATAACTGATTAACTAAAATTAAAAACTATATCCTGCTGGGGCACAGTAAGAAAAAATAATCCTGGAGCATTATCAAAAGATAAACCCATTGCTAACCCCCTTGAATTGTTTCAATATCAGGAATTCTATGTAGCCATTAATCAGGCTACAACCAGCCTAAAACTAAACCTCACAAAAAAATAAAATTCGACTGACTAAAAAATTAAATCCTGTGGCACATAATATGAATAATTTGGGGATCAATCACTCACCTCTGGACTGGTATTGCTGGGATTTATTGTATTTGGACAGCCATCAACCAAGAAAAGCCCAAAGAAATCTCAATAATTGACTTACTAAACATTATCAAATATATCCTGTGGCACATTAACAATGGTTTAATTTATTTGGGGGTCACTCATATTTTTTGGACTTGTAATGCTGGGATTTGGACGGTCATCTTTCTTAGTAACTGAACCTGAAATTCCTAAAGTAATTTGAATAATTGACTGACTACAAAATTACCAAACCAGACCCTGTAGCACAGTAAGAATGGCATAATGTATTTGCGGGACAAGCACGCACTGCTGAATTGGTAATTCTGCTGGAATTTGCACTAATATTTATACAGACCCCTAACAGTTTAGCCAGATCAAACAAAGTGACAATATAACACAAGCTTTATCAACTGTAGCACAGCTGGCAGGTGTTGCTAATAATGTTTACCTTTCTATTGAACATCTTGGATTCAAAGGAAAGATCCGTTTCTAATGAAACCATACCCATCTCAAAATAAATAAATGATGACTTATTGCTATAAGATTCCCTATAACTAACTTGCAGGCTGCTGCATTTACAAACCATTTTGCAGTATATAAAGTACTTCATACTCTTGCATGCAATTACGTGTCTGGTGAAACAGTTTTTACAAAGTTCAAAACTAACACAAAAATAAGATTGTTTAATTGGTCAGGATTTTGTGGAATCCCTTATTTTTACTGAACACAGAGAGGGCAGACGTTTAGTTAATTTTGGCATCATTGATAAATATCGATACATTCTTCTTCTGTCCTATAACACGTTTTTTAAAGCTGAATACAAAAACCATATGCCAATCCCACTGCTCCCTCCCCTTAGAGGCATAGGATAGTCCTGCAAGGTGTCAGCAAACTATAAAATGAGGGTTCACAAAGCTACATCTTAAAGATTTTACACATGTTAATTATTTATGTTTGAGATACAAATGTTGTGGGAAGAGTTATAAAAGCACAATCTACATAACCAATGTCCACATCTTTATGACTGGGTAAAGCAATTTACTTTGTATGCCATTTTACTGTCATCTGTTTCCTCACAACTATGTAGAAATGTAGTGATTACGTGTCTGAATATATTTCTTGTGTTATAAATACTTCATAACTAATGTCAATATCTGAAAGGGTTTCTAAACCCTTTGGTTTTTTTTTGTTTTTGCATATATCTACTGCTAGCAAGCAGTAGATATATGCAAAAAGTTTAAAAAGCGGTTTAAACCTACCGCTGTCTTCGCCGTGCGCTCCCGTCCGAAAAACCGAGACCGCCTGGGCGGCTGCAAAGCACCTTGGGGCGGGCGCATGCGCAGTTCGTATTTTCGGCCGGGAGACGAGGAGAGACGCAAGGCAAGTTTATGGACGCATGCACCCGTATGCAGACACCGTGGGACAGGAAGTGCCATCAAGCACAGAGGAGTCAGCGATGGATCGGAGACCCGCCGCAGCGCTGGAGAGAAGGCTGAAAAGTACAGGAAAGAAGAGCAACATGGGATTAAGAGACATAATTTAAGGTAAATGTTTTACTTAACATTAGGGGGAGGGAAAAAAATGTTTTACTTTAATGTCACTTTAATGTTTGGGTAATACAATGATGTCAGCTCTATACCATTACTCATCATCCTCATCATACTTAGCGACAGTTGCTTTGCCAATTACTGGTTACCCTCATCATAGTTAGTCACACTTTTTGACCAATTGCTGTAAATGCAATTTTGCTTTGTTTATTCTGTTCTATACATTTCTGCCTAGTTCACTGAGCAAAAAACTGTCTAACTAAGAGGGAATCATTTGTCTGGTTATATAAGCATGGTTGTGTTATAAATACAATGCAAATTAATATTCTTTTGTGTCAAGTGTAAAGTTTTTTGTTTCTGAGTTGGTCACATTTAATCACCGCAGAGATGCTACTAATGGTGGCAACTTGCACCTAACACCAATAATTAGTCCATGTAATTATCAATTTATAAGCACAGAGCTCCAAAAAAACAAATGCTAATATATCCATAAATATATATCAACCACAAAGCTAAAAATGTGAAAACCTTTAAAAAATGTATAAAACCAACATTATAAGTGCAATAAAAGATGTCATAAGATGTATATAAACATAAAATAGTGCAAAGCACATTCATAGTATCCCTCAGTAACCAATGTGTTCTTATATATGTGTTAACTTTATACAACAATTTACTAATATATATTTGTCATTTTGTTTTATTTATTCTTTATTCAAATTTTCCACATAAAAACAAACAACATAATTTACAATTAATTTTCTTAAAATTCATATACTGTATCATTTACACAAATAACATTCTATCAATCAATCAGTCACCCCTCTCTATCTAATTTAATCTCCAATTATCTACCGAGATTTCTAGGAAAGAGAGTTGTATTATCTTCCTCTATTTAATGCTCAGATATCATGCCTACCTACAACTCTATAACTACACTATATATTTGGGGTTCAGGTATAAAGTGCCACTGGTGTCTAAAAGAGCCTATGAAGGGTCCACCTCCCCTTTTCTACCCATCCTCCTCCTCCCCATTACCTTGTGTTCCTTTTAAAGGTCTACTAACAGTGCTAAGTGTTATTATCGAATTATTTATTGTTGTGAAGCACTTCAATTCAAAATATTGGATATATATATTGTCACACAGTTTACTAATAATACATTTAAAAGATCACACAGCAATATTTACACTAGATAATGGCTATATTATAAACAAGAATGCACTAAAACACTAGTTAAGAAGAAGAAGAAAGTAATAATAATACACTTGAATATAATATAAAATATTTTGTATTTTATTTGTCATTTTCTAATCATCAGTTGTCCCTATCAGAGTGCCCCCTTACATTATATGTCCCTATCAGACTGCCCCCTTACATTAGATGTCCCCATCAGAGTGGCTCCCTACATTGGTTGTTCCCATCAGAGTGGCCCCTTACATTAGTGTTACCCAACAGAGCCCCTTACATTACCTGTCCCAATCAGAATGCCCCCTTACATTAGATATCAACTTCAGAATTCTCCCTTAAATAATTGTTCTCCATCAGAGTGCCTCCTTACTTTAGTTGTCCACATCAGTGTGCCCCCTTACTATAGTTGTCCTCATCAGAGTGCCTCTTTACATTGGCTATCCTGGTCAGAGTGCCCCCTTAGATTGGTTGTCCCCATTAGAGAGCCCCTTTCTATCATAATCAATATAAGGGAGCACGCTGATGGGGGCACCCCAATCACCAATGTGTTTTTAAAATTCATTGTATTCCTAATGGAGGATTGTGGTGACTTGTTTGACCTGCTCCTTCGCCCACCCTCCCCTTTGCTGTATTGCCTTGGTCAGTCTTCGTGGGGTAATGTTGCCAACTTTGTTGGTTGGCAAATGGTCACTTGGTTGGTGTAAATTATTGCTGCTTGAGTCTTGAACACTCATGTTGTTAATGGTTAGCAGTGGTTCTGTTTGGAAATAAAGTCTATTTCATTATTAGAATTTATTTAAACGAGCCGTGGCCTAAGGTTTTCCCACAACCTTTGTGGTGTGTTATTTAAGTATTTTGTTATGGCATGATGTGTATTAATAGGGTGTTAAATACCATGTTAGCTAAATAAATACGTTTATACATTTGCATTATTGGTTTTGTGGTTGATGTACATTTATTAATATATTAGCATTTCTTTTAAAGTGGGTTGTTAAGCATTGTACTTATAAACTTATATATATATATATATATATACTGTGACATGAGGAAAGGGGAAGTCATCGAGGGGCGATATATTTCCCCTCGCTTCCTTTCATATGTTCAAGACCGGTGGAACCCAGACCAAGTTTTCCAGTAGACTTTAGGTCTGGGTAATCCAGTTTGGGTTTTTTGTCTCTCACCTGGATTGTGTAATTGATTACTGATTGATTATCCAGGTGAGATAAAGGGGGAAGGCTGAAGCATGATGTTGCTCTGGTCTGCAACATTTTTGGATATGAACTATTTGTCCATCTTTTCCTATAAAAGACTTTGCAGCTCTGGATTGATGTAGGACGCTCACTTTTTGCTGTATAATATTAGTAGAGTCATAATGACAGGAGGAGGGTTTAAAGTTATTTTTGGTTACAGTGATAAATGAACTTTGTTCCAAAATAACAGAACTCGCACCCCTTTATAGCTTTTATTTATTGAATAGGCCAGCACACACTAGGGTGTGTTCTACTAAGGAATATTTTCGCTCTTCAAGGGAAACGTCACACAGCCAATCAGTGGCAAGACAACTTATAAAAAAAAAAGTCCCCTGCAAATGATTGGCTGGTTGATGTGAACATTGTTTCTTCATCAAGAATGAAAATGAAACCATCAGTAAATCAGATTCTCAGTGTAATATAATTCTTTCAATATGCATCTTAGTATTCAATAATGATAGTATAAATTCCAGATTAATATTATACAGGATTTTTTAGTGCCAACAGTTTGCGCAACGCTTTACAATAAAAGAAAGACATTACAATTACAATATAATTCAAGACAAGCTGGTAAGGAGGGCCCTGCTCGTGAGGATCTATCTAAATTGTAAATTTTGACTAAAATTGGCAACATTTCATTACAATGTAGATTTCCCCTCACTTCCTGTCCTGGTGACAAAATATTTCACCAAACAGGAAGTCCGGAGCATTCTTCAAAAGCAGCACGGATAGAATTAAGATTTTTTTTTTTAGCAGAGTAGGGAAAGACTAAGATCCAGTCCAACTTTATGTTGCTGTCTGTATTCTTGTTAATCCCTCAGGTTGTTTTAGGAAGTAATGGTCATAACATATTTATTCTTGAAAAACCTCCTGTCGGTCCTGTCCTGTTTTTATATCAAAGTTAACATGTTACTATGTGAGGTAGAGTCATTGAGCACTTCACACTTCAGTATTTTATTGCTTCATTACTAGGGATGTCCCGATACTGATGCTAGCATCGGAATCGGGCCCGATACAGGGCATTTTGACAAGTACTTGTACTTGTCAAAATGCCCCGATACATAGCGCCGAAGCTTGCTCTATGTTTTTGTTTTTTTTCTTACCTCGCCGAGCGTCGCTTCACTGCTGCTCCGCTCGGCGGAGCTCCTGGTGGGGTCCTAATTTAGGTGGCCGGAGACTGTCAGATGACCCCGCTTGGAGTGCCGCCCACCTGAGCAGCAGTGACGCGACGCTCGGCGAGTTAAGTAAGAAAAAAATGCAGCGCCCAGTCAGCGCTGGTCCGGCGAGAGGAGCTCCAGGTGGGGTTCTAATTTAGCTGGCCGGCACCTCTGAGCCAGATAAATTAGGACCCCACCTGGAGCTCATCCCACTGGACCAGCGCTGCCCCTGACTCATCCCTGCTCTCTCCGGCACAGTGAGTGAGGGCAGATTTGGGGGGGTGGGGGTTCTATTAAGCAATTATATATTGTCTGCACTGTATTAGCAGTATATACTCCATATGTACTACATATAGAGTACATATAGAGTACACACTGCTAATACCGTGCAGACAATACATTTACAATTATCCTCTGCTAACATGAATGGATTGTACTGTGTACTAGGGATCATTTAATCCATTCATGTTAGCAGAGGATAATTGTAAATCTATTGTTGCAGTGCACTCTATATGTACATGTACTGTATACTACATATAGGATGCACTGCAACAATAGATTTACAATTATCCCCTGCTAATATAAATGGGTTAAATGATCCATAGTACATGATATGTAGCCCTGTACTACGGATCATTTAACCCATTCGTGTTAGCAGTGCAGAATTGTATATCTATTGCTGCAGTGCAGTCTATATGTACTGTACATATACAGCACAAATGTCCCGTACATTGCAGCAATAGATTTACAATAATCAACTGCTAACATGAATGGGTTAAATGATCCACAGTACAACTACATGTTATGTACTATTATGTAATATGGATCATGATTTAACCTATTCATGTTAGCAGGGGATAATTGTGACTCTATTACTGCAGTGTACTGGACGTATGTGCTGTATATGTACTATGGACATAATTTCACCTATTCATGTTAGCAGGGCAGAATTGCGAGCGCCTCCCACGAGCTGAGCACCGAGACGTGATGCAGCGATCCTGCCCAGCGCCGACTACAAGAGGCACCGCGTGAGGCAACAGGGATCGGAGTGAAACTGTGAGTGAGGGAAACTGGGACGGGGCTGGCTGTAAATCTATTGCTGGTGTGTACTGGACGTGTGTAATGTATATGTAGTACATATATACAGCACACACCTCCACTACACTCCAACAATAGAGTTACAATTCTCCCCTGCTAACATGAATAGGTTAAATCATAATCCATAGTACATAACATGTAGCTGTACTATGGATCATTTAAAGTCACCTGTCCCTTTAAGAAAAAGTATCGGTAATTGGTATCGGCAAGTACATGAGGGGATGTACTTGTACTTGGGCCTGAAAAAATGGCATCGGGACATCCCTATTCATTACCTTACACTTTTCTGTCATTGAAGGTTTTCCCTTATTGGCATTAGATCATGTGGTCTTTGATAAGAACTCTTCCATGGAGGTATCCACAAGATGACAGCTGATCCCTACCTACAGTATATACACTATAAAAACAACTGTCTTTAAGGTAGCCATTTCTTGGGAGCACTAAGAACTCAGATGGGGCTGGGTGCAAGGTTGGATTCTTGGTATCCACCATTGCTGCTCCCTCAGTGAGAATCTCATGCAGCACCCTAGAGAGAAACAGTCTCTGGATCTCTGGTGCCTGAATGTGCTGGGCAAGACAGAAGTGGATGTACAATCACTACATATACTGGTACAGTCATCATTTAGCCTCAGAGACACACTTTGAAGCATCTGACCACCTGTATAAAGGTGTCAGAGCTTATAGGTTTTCCATTTAATTCCTTTCCCAACCCCCCCCCCCCCCCCCCCCCCCCCCCCCCCGCTCCAC